AATATCTTAATGTCTATAATAATATGAATTACAATATTTACAGCCGCCTACTGTGTGAATTTGATGATATTTAATCATAAATACTGTATTTACACAACTATAACAAGCAATTTATATTTACGTCCAGTCTTTTGAGCTTTATACAGTCGTTGCCCGAGCCTGTTTTGTTTTTGCCACGCTTGCTTTGTTGTCCAATCTTTTCCTTGTCACAAATTCGGCGATGTTAAAAAGTTTAAAATGGCCCTTCGGAAGCGGCATATTTTATCGGTTTTTAACACAAAATTCAAAAAACAAAAACCATAGGATTTTAAAATAATAACATAAGAACAAAATAATTGAGAAAATATAAGAATCAGACCAACAATAAAGAATTTTTACCAAGGCGACATTTGTCAACTTTTAGAAAATTTCGCGAAAGAGCGCCATTAGCGCGAGCGCCTTGAAAGAAGACTCCTTCCCAACAAAACAAAAAGCGTAACTATAGCAACCTTGGTATCAAAATTATCCTCACAAACCCCCCTTTTGACCCTGATAGGTTTCGCATTACCCGCAAGCAACCGCAATTGTTCAAAAGTCAAAACAAATTGCGCAATTTTGGAAGTCATATTAGTCACCAGTCTTCTGGAATTTTTCGCACGGACTTAAAGAAAATTTGTCACACTTTTAATTGGCGCTTTGGCGTGCATTTTTGTCAAGCGTGCACAAATATCATGTCATTGTTGAAATGACTATTATTGAGGTAATGTTGATATCTTTTAGATCAACACATGTACAATGTTAAAAATATAACATACATAAAGAAGTACAATGCAGGCACGTAGTAGTAGTTCGTGTTAGTTATGGATGTGCTTACAAGAACACTTATTTAGGTATGCAATCGTGGCATCAGAATATACCGCCTTCGCTCGCCCTTTAACGCTGATGCCAAAATGACTGGTCATGGAACGCAGTTGGGTGATTTTCAGGTTGCCGATTTCTTCTTTTGTCAATTGGCACAGGCTTTTGCCTGAAAACAACACAGGATGAGCTACATCCTGCTTTAAAGTTTCTAGCACGTTCGAGTTCACCTCAGCTTGGTGCCTCGTGAATTCTTCTGCTTCGTCATCCGATTCTGTCGCACCTTTTCTCTTTGATGCCATTCTAGAGAAAAACGACGATATCTGCTGGGGACGAAGAAACTCTACGACAACGGTAAAGACTCGTTTCCCATTCTGATTTTCTGTTGTCGCATTTCCTCTGACACGTTATCTGGGTTCTCCTTCACGCCCGTTTTTACACCATCGTTAAATTTGTTCTCCAGGAATGTTCTCTGTTTTGCGCGGGACCAGTGGCCTGTTTTTTTTGAGGTCCCGACCAGCCCGTCCTTCTGAAACATACGTTGTACCCACTTCTGTCAAGCCTGTCATTGTAATTAATGATTGTCCCCCTCTCTCCTCTTCCAGACGGTCTGCGTAGCTTATCTTTACCCTGTCCAATAAAAGAACATTCTGGTTTTGTCGAAAATTGTGTCTCCCATACATCAGGTGTTGCTTCAGACGCCCATGAGTCATATAGGATTTTATGCAACCGTCTTCTGGGCAGGAAAACAAATAGCTATCAGCTGAATCGGTACCGACTTGCTGTTCATCAATGGCTGGTCGCTCTTCGTTAGTTGAACTGTCCGGATGAGAAGATACTCCCTTTGCTTGTCTGGGCTTTATTACCACAAACTCCCCTGTACCTGGTTCGACCACGATCCATTCGAACTCACTATCACGTGGGATTTCTAAATAAATTTATGAACACATTTCAACAAAGCACACACCTAAATGAAAGTATTTGCACTTCGTAGTCCACGTGAGCGCAGCCTGTTTCCAAATAGGTGTACATTCTTTACACCTGCAAAAAATGTTGTTGTGGGATAGTACATTAAGATAAACAAATAAGTAGTTTAAAATGTTGTTATCTTTTTGAAGAAGAAAGACTTATTGCTTTTTTGGGGGCATTGCTACATGTTTTTTAATGTGACGACAAGGTTTTCCAATAAAGTTCATATGAATCATATAAACATTACCGTTAATTACGAGCCATTTCTTGAGCCAGTTTTGCCAGTAAATAATCAATGTTTACCTAAGACAAAATAATAGTTTTCATCCACCAACCAATCAGTCCATACCTTTAAATGATGTCCAGGACTGAAAATGCCCAGGGCCGATACCATAAGCCTTGAAGGACCTCACACCCGCAGATGTTATCTCGAAGTTGGACAAACTGCTTATACCGGCCGTCCCATTTGATTTTCTTGCGCCCAGCAATCTTGGGAACAGGTACCATCGTCACACGCACCTCTTTAATCCTTCCGTTGAATTCAATAGCTTTTTTAAGTTCAGCCGGCGTTGTGACGGAATTGCCCTGATTGATGTATTGCGTAACATGAGTTGATGTATTGCTTAACACTTGATTTGCGCTACCTTCCTGTCACATGGACCTTTTCCCCCCTGCGGGTCACAGAAGTCAATCCGATGAAGATCCAGCGAACTTCTCTCTCTTAGTATTTTGCAGGCCAGCATTGCTGTTGCGGAGTGATAAGTTGTCTTGGCGGTATACCACTCTATTCAAGGTAGGATTTTCGCACTTCAGGGTTTGCAGGACATGTTCCAATACGCTCGCTACTGTATTGCTGTCCTGCACACCAGATTCAATTATGTGAACCGACGTTTGCGCGACCATCTCTCCGCCTTTGTTGCTTTAGCAAATTGTAAGGTGCCATGAAATCCCTCTTTTCCCGAAGAATTCGGCCTGTGTCTTTCTGTACTGGGCTGGAAAGAACTTCGTGGCAAAGTCTTGCGTGATTAGCGTGGAATCTTCACCAAGACTGCCGATAGCATCTGACCTGGCTACGTCCTGGTGGACATGCGGAGCTGGTGGGATTTCCAGGACAAGACAGCATCACACGCGGTTCTCGCTTTAAATAAAGCATCATCGCGCACGTCTTCAGGTAGGTTAGTAGACTGGATGAAGTACTTAACTAAATCTAAAGACTAAGGAAAACGAGAAACATCTGAGAGCTTCGGTGATGTGTCACATTCAAAGACAATTTTCTCCTTAGCATCAGCATCAGCATGCTATAACATTGCACATTGTATAGACACAATATGTAATTAACCGAATTATATTCCATTGATTTCCAATAGTATTTTATTAACTTACCGTTTTCAATATTTCACAATTCTCACACTTTTGATTGTGGTGGTGGTCACAGCGTCGATGGAAGCGCTAAGTGCAAACACTCTGCAGTATTTGTATTGTATTGTATTAAAACTTTATTTTAAGACACTAGCCCCGTCAACGGTGCGTTGGTTTCCACGGGGGGCGTCTACAATGTTAAAAATTACAAAAGATATAAGGGAAAAGAAGACTATTTACAAATTGGTGTGACCCCAGATGTTATGGTTAGACGGAGTTACAATATATTTCAAATATATATAGTATTAGAGTTAAGTTTTAAATGGCTTTTGAACAGGTGCATTGATTCTGCCAGTTTCGTATCGATAGAGAGACTATTCCATAGCTTAGCTCCACTGTATTTAAAACTCTTTTTTAGGAATTCTCTTTTAGGCTTA